GTAGTGGCCTGCAGGGGATGGTGCCATGCTGGGGGATGGGTGTCCATCCCCTTCCCCAGCCCATCCTGTCCCCGGTGCCCATCCCAATGGCGGTAGCAGGGCCGGTACCAGCACATTCCCTCTTCCAGCCACATCTGAGGACCACTGTGCTCGGGACACCCAACAGCACCCATTCCCTGGGTGGGCATCATCCTCCCCAGCACACACACGGCACTCAGGGTGGGCACCATGCCCAGGGAGTGACGTGAAGAGCAGCCACCAGCTCAGTGCCTCACGGCAAGAAGTACCCAGCTTTATTTTCCCAAGCCAAGGCAGGTGAGCGGGCGGCTCACACATGGGACCCCCGCCCCCCATCCTCCTAGATGAAGCGCTTGTTCTCCTCCTGGTAGTCGTAGGGGTCTCCGGCAAAGGGCAGCGGCGGGGGGTGGTTGTAGATGCCCATGAGGAAGATCCAAAGGGTGCCCACCACCAGCGTGGGGGTGATGAGGAAGAGGCAGAGGCGGTCCAGGGTCCGGGCCACGCGGTTCCAGTTGTCTTTCTCCTGGGGAGGGAACCAGAAGCCAGGCAGTGGGGGGCACAGCGGGCACAAGAAGCTTCCTCTGCCCCCCTGCCATGCCCACAGCCCCCACCTCGTTGTAGTTGTTTTTCTCCCGCATGTATTTGACGATGAAGTTAGCGCCGTCAACGATGGGTTTTATGTGCTCATAGAGCTGCTCCTCGCCCGTGTCTGTACCTGGGGCCAAACCTGGGGGCGAGAAAGGGGGTGAGATGGGTCTGAAGGACTGCCACCACTGGATAACCCTGCTCCACTGCCCTTCCCCTTGTCCCCACGGAGGGGCTGAGGCTCACGTGCAGGGGTGACACGGCTGGTCAACCCATGCCGCTCCGACTGCTTCTCGAACATCAGCTCGCTGCGGGACTTGACGCTGAAGTACTCCTCCGCCTTGGCGATGTAGCCGGCCGAGCTGCAGCGCCGGATGCATGGAGCGCCCACCGGGCTCTCGGCTGGCTGCGTCATGCCCAGCAGGCGAGGCAGGCTCTCCAGGAAGACCTGGGGTATGGGAGAGGGTGTCAGGTCCCTCAGCCACTTCCTCAGGACAACTTGTCCCCACCTTCTGCCCTCAACCCAGGCATGCAACCCCTTTGGGGTGGTGCAGATAGGACATCCCAATGCAATGTTAGGGCTGTGCTGTCCCATGCCCTCCATGGGGCATGGTGCCAACCCTGCACCCACCAGGTCACCCACCCCAGCCCAGCACCCTGCTCACCTCTTTGACCCAGTCAGACATGATATGGGTGCTGGGGGTGCGGAAATGGAAGTTGAGGACCACAATGCAGATCATCACCACAGCCGTCACCAACAGCATGATGAAAAGCAGGTACCTGTGGGGGCACGGACGTTGGGCTGGCATTGCCACAGGGACTGGGAACAGGCAGAGCTGCCCTCTGGCACCCCGGGGACCCTGTGATGTCCCCATTGTACCCAGCAGTACCCAGGACTCACTTGCCAATGAGGGGTATGGCATGGGAGGTGGCAGGCAGGCGCTGGGAGATGAGCAGAAGGAAGACGGACTGGGCCAGGAGCACTGAGACCACCAGGGTCATCTTCTCACCACCTGGAGGGCAGGTGAGCTCAGAGCAAACCCTGCTCCAGGTCCCAGTCCCAGTGCCCCCGGTGCCAGGATTGCCCTCCCAGTGTCCCACCATACAGTGCCCCATTTAGGGTTTTCTATTATGCAGGTAGCCCAGGGTCCCACATGGGGTATCCTGTGCCCAAGTGTGCCCCTGCCAGGGTGCCTGGCTGAGCTGATGGTGTCCTGCATGGGGATGTCCCAGTACCAGGATGTCCCTGCGCTAGGTATTGGGGTGTCCTGATGTCCCAGGACCTGGTGGAGGTGTGGGATATGGAGGTGCCCCATGGGTTGACCCCCATGCCCGACACAGGCACTGTGGGGCTCACTCACTGTCTGCAGGCAGGTAGAAGACAAGGATGGCCATGAAGGCAATAAGGATGCAAGGCGTGACAATGTTGATGACATAGAAGAGTGGCTTGCGTTTGATGATGAGGTAGAAGGTGATGTCCTGGTGCTCACTGCTGTCGGGGGGGATTTCAGGGTGGATATTCTTGCGGGCTGGGCGGTGGATGATTTCCCATTCCCCGTTCTCTGCCAGGGCACATGGGACACTGCATGGCACGGGGGGTCCCCACCATGCCCATCCTCACCAGCCCCACCAGCACCCGGTCTCCCCATCCTGGGTCTGGGTAGCTGCAAGCCTGGTGGGATGGGTGCCAGGATGCCAAAGCCAAGGGGACTCGGGTGTCTCTGTGGCATGGTGCCCCAATGCCAGGGTGGCCCCGAGCCCCATATAGGGTGTTCTGTTGCCACAGGATGTGGCAGAGAGCAGAATCATTACCCGTGAAGCCTTCAGGGTCGATGATGATCCACTCCACGGGGTAATTCTTGCCTGTCTTTGGATCATTGTCTGTCTTCAAGTGCATGTTGATCTCCAGGGCACTGTACGCCAGTGAGCTGGCCAGTGGCCGGGGGGGATAGGTGGTGAGGGGCTGCGCCTGTTGCTTGTTACCCACCACCCACCCACCCTGATCTCCAGCATGATGGATCTGGGCCACGGAGTCACCCCCAAACCCCCACCTTGCTGTGCCCCAACAGCAAGGGAAGGTGCTGACAGCAGTGGGCACCACAGAGGACCGGGATGTCCACCCTGCTGCCCACCCCTGCCCTGCCCCAGGCCCCCGACACCTGAATCTGAGGGTGCAGTTCTGCCAGTCGAAGGGGAAGAAGTCGACGTTGATGGGACAGGCACTGCGGAAGATGGCAGGTGGCAGCCAGTAGACATCGCCTGTGTCGTAGATGAGGACGTTGCAATAGTAGGCGATCTCAAAGAGCCCATCGTTGCTGCACCAGGAGAGAGCCAAGGTGACGGCAGGGCCGGCGAGGGGCAGGGGGAGCCCTGGGCACGCACCGGGTACAGCTCGGGGGATTCAGGAGGGGAAACAGAGGCACAGCTCACTTGTTCTCCAGGACTATCTCAGGCAGCCACAGCATGTCTGGTGGCAGGCGGAGCACGCTGATGTCCCCAAACTCAGACTTGTTCCACTGCAGGCGGTAATCGGTCCAGCCCTGGAGGGGGAATCCCCAGGTCACCCCCTCACCACGCTGGCCCACCATATTGCCCATGCCTCAGGGCACAACTGACACCATGATGCCTGTCCCTACTCACGTGCTCGAGCCATACGTTGGTGGTGAGCGTCTCGTCCACCTCTTTCTGCAAAGACAGCGTGGAGAAGTGAGATGCCAGGGCCATGCCCAGCAGCCATCCCCCCAAAGCTCAGGATCCCCAACCCACACCAGTTCAGGGCAGCAGCCCCAGGGCTCCCCCCACCCAACCAGCCCTGGGGGTGAGGCATGGCTAGAGATCACCTCATGGTGGGCACTGCCTGCTGGGACTCACTAGCGAGATGAGGTTGGAGAGGGTGAGGGCCAGGTAGACGTCCACAACCTGGTCGTTGGAGACAACAGGGCGCACCTCCTTGTTGTAGCCCCTCTCCTCGAAGAGATGGTGGATGAGCCGCTCCTCCTGGTTCATGCAGAGCCCGCCTGGGAGTGTGGGGTGAGGCAAACTGGGGGGGTTACTGGGCCCAGCACCACCCCGCAGGGATGCTTGGTGAGGGCAGGGTGGTGTAAGGATGGAGGAGACAGGAGGAAGCCAGGACACTGCATGCCTGTGCTGCACAGGGGCATGGACATGGGACACACAGGAATGACACACATGCGTGGGCGCGTGGGCGCACACGGGCATGGGACAGGACGTGGGCATGGACACAGAGGGACACATAGATACAGACCCCGCACACACAGACATGAGACGCTTGGGTACAGATGCGGTGGCACTGTGCACCTAGATGGATGCACACACAGAGGCACGCATGGACACGTGGATCCACTATATGCAGGGACATGCAGTGTCACTGAGGACCCAGACAGGCACACAGAGGGACACACAGACACAGTGACACTGTGCACAGACAGACACACACCCGGCCCAGGCAGGGACACATCTCTGGGTGGCACAGCCAGGACAGAAGTGCAGGGGGTGCTCAGTGGTAGGACTCTACCAGGCAATACCCAAAATGCAGCCCCTGGGGACACTTGTGACCAGCTTGGACCCTGCCACCATCACCCCCAACCAACCCCATCAAGGGAGCTGAGAACCCCCCCCAGCAGCGGTGCAACCCCACGCCCAAGACCCCGGGGCCCCGCTCACCCGACAGCACCAGCGCCCCGAGCAGGGCCAGCCGCCCCAGTGAGTCCCCCATTCGGTGGCTGCTGTCCCCTCTCGCAGTGCCAGGCCCTGGCCACCTCCCCGCCTGGCCCGGCCGAGCGGATGTCCGGCTGCCGGTCGGAGCGGGAGATGGATGGTGCCAGGTGCCGAGGGGGAAGGGTGCCGGCACTGGATTCCCGCTCCCACCCCTCTCTTCCGGCACCCCCCGCACCCGGAGAAGGGGAGATGGGCAGGCGCAGATGGCCTCACCGGCCCCATGGGTGTCAGCCCATCACCCTGCATCTGGGCACCCCAGCACGGGCATTGCCGGGCACTGGGAGGACCAGTCCCTTCCCCACCGCTCAGCAGCCCCAGCGATGCTGCTGGGGGGCAGCAGGCTCCGAGCACAGGGTGGCACCACCCCAGCACAGGCAGGAGGTTTCCTGCGGTCCCCGATGGGGTGACACCAGGGGTGGGCATCGGTGCTGTACTACGGGTGCTGCGGAGGGCAGGAGGGGTGCCCGACCCCCAGGGAAGGGGGGGAATCTGTGCCAGGCTGGGCACAGCGTTGATGCCAGGGGCAGGAACTGAGGCTGGGGGCATTGCTTCGGGGTACAGGGGAATGGGAAGGGGGATGGATATAGTGGGATGCCATATCCCCTGTGGAAAGACCCTCTGCTGGTGCCCGCCTTGCTGGCACCGCACAGCACGGCACTCGCTTCACACTCGCCAGCTACTGGAAAATAGAGCCCTTCTTTATTGAAAAATAAACCTTTCTCTGTACAAATAAATAACAGCCGGAGTGCCTCTAGGGAAAATGGGGTGGGCTTGCCAAGGTGGGGGTCCCAGGGAAGAGGAGGGATGTAATCCCCAGCTGAGATGCTCCGGCACCCCATTGCCCTGGGGAGGTTGGGCAGTGCTGGTGGGAAGAGGGAAACTGAGGCACGATGGGGGACAAAAGGGTGGATGAGCCTGAGCCGGGGAGGGGGCTGTGTTTGAAGGACATGAGAGACCCCTGCCCCAGTGTCCCATCCCCACGTGGGCATGGCACCCCAGGGCACTGGGGGCACCATTAGGATTTCAGTGCCTCGAGTGCCAAAGCGACAAGGCCAGGCATGCTGCGGGCCAGCGAGTCGCTTTCCAGCCCCACAAGGCCAGCGAAGGTGGTGGGGCGGCCCCCAACCATGGCCCGCACCTGCGCCCGGTACAGCCCCTTGGTGTTTTTGGAGCTCAAGTCCACCAGGATCTGTGAGGAGATGACAACACCGTGAGTCCCAGGGGGGCCAGGGGCATGGTGGGACGGTGATGGCCTTAGGGGGTGGCACCGCCTGGCTTCTGGGGCAGGGGGCTCAGAGCAGCTGGACAGGGCACTCACCTCCTGGAAGGTCATGGCCAGGTCCGGTTCGGGCACCTTCAGCACCCAGGCGTACAGGTCCCGCAGCGCGCCCACCCGCACCATCGACTCGTTGAGGCCGGGGCAGGCTGCAACCCCAGGGGCGGGCAGGAGAGAGATGGAGGGGGGACATCAGGGGTGCACTGAGGGGTGGGACAAGTCATGGAGGCACCATGCTGCTGCCCATCCCCGGGGAGGAGCACCCATGCTCTGGGGACGTTGGGGGAGCAGGGGACAAGGGTCCCTGTGGAGGGGGGTATGGATGAGGGCTGTCCCACTGACATGGGACAACCAGGCTTGGGACTGGGGTGTGAAGGCGAGGTTGGGCTTGCCACCATCCCCATGGTGGCATGTGGCATCCCGCAGTGGCTGCGGGCTACAGGGCTCTTACCTCTGCCTGCGCCTGCTTCCTCCTCCTCCTCCTCCACCCTTGGCAGCTCCGTGGGCACCAGCTCACGCTTCTCTCTCAGCGCAGACCCTGCCACCAGGAGAGGTGTAAAAACCTTGGTGGGGATGTGGCCAGTGGGCACTGCCCAGGCACAGAGCTGGCCGGTGGATGGACACCCCGCTGGCCCATCGCCACCTCCCCCAGGCTCCCGGGGCTCACGGCTCAGCACAGGGGTCCCCGCCAGCTCTCCAGGTGCCTGTCGTGGCTCCGTGGCTTCAAAAGGGGCGCTGAGGTCCAGCTCTGCCCGCAGCTGGGCGAGGAAGGCTCGTCCTTGTGCCACCAGCTCCTCCACCACCTCTTCGCCCTGCTGAAGGGAACGGGGGACAGGGTGGGCAGTGGGGCACCCACAGGTCACCCGTGGGCATGGCTGGATGCACAGTGGCAGAGCGCAGGGCACGGCTGGGCTGGTGTTGGGTGGGGGACTGGGGACACACAACGTCTTTATGGCTGTGTTGGGTCAGATCTTAAGCTGCAGGGTCAACCCGTGGCCGGCACTGCACTGGGTGGACTGGGAGCACTGGTTTCAGCTGGGGAGGGTGAGATGCTGCCTGTTTGGTAGCAGAGTGGGAGATGCCACCTCCATGCATGCACAGGGGACAATGGACCCAAGGGTTGTCAGGAGGGGACTGAGGGGGGCTGCTGGGCTTTGGTCCCTGGTGGCACTGTCACCAGAGGGGCAGGGTCCCCGCCCCAGCCCATCCCTCCCCAAATACCTGCAAGAAGAGCCACGTCTCCCCGGGCAGCTGCCCCCCGTCCACGGGGGGTGCCGGGGGGCTGCCTCCCACCATGGCCCTCAGCGCCTCCACCCAGTCCTGCAGCTGGGGCCCCACGGTCCTGAAGAGCCCTGCGAAGGGGGGCGGCCCCCCGGCCCCCCGCCTGCAAGCACAGCAGGGCGAGCTCAGGCACGTGCCCAGTGGCACCCATTCCCTAGGCAGTGCCACTCCACACCCTGCGCGCCCCTGGTGGGACCTGGGTGGCCCTGGGCACCCTGGGGGGCCATGTCCACCTCCCTCTAGGTGTGCCCTGGTTGCAGGAAGAGCAGGACCCCAATGCTTTAGGCTGTCTCCGAAAAGCCATGTTGGTTCCCACGGGCTTTTTGCCCCCAAACTCTTTAGCTGCCCACCATGCCGTACCTGGTGGGGAGTCTCCAGGGTTCCTCTGCTGTGGGGCTGGGCTGGCCCCCTGCCACAACCTGGCCTGTGGGGACAAGAAGGGAACCAGAGGGACGAGGGGTAGGGGAGCCCCATAGCGGGGCCAGGGCAGGCTGCTGGTGACCCGGCCACCGGCATAGGGAAGACCGATGGGACCCCAAGTGGGCATGGGGTGGCCCAGCCAAGAGGGTACCTGGGGCATCCCTGCGGACACGGGGTGGGAAGAGATGCCCATAGATCTTGCCCAGGAGCTGGGGCAGGGCGCGGGTGAGGAAGGAGAAGTCGAACTGGTTTCGGATGAAGTCCCCAGCCCGGCGCAGGAGATCCACCAAGGTCTGAGCGTAGGAGTGTAGCTCTGCAGGTGCAGCGGGAGAGCCATGGCCCCGGCACCGCACCAGACCCACGCCACCAGAAACGGAGTCCCTCCCTGCGCCCCTCATCTCGGCACGACCCCCTGGCTCACCACATCGTCTTGTCCTGGCACGGCAGGTCTCCTCGGCCAGGCGGGCGCAGGCGGCCCGGCCCTGGGGGTCCCGGCAGGACCCAGCGTAGAAAGGCCAGCAGCGGGGGGG